CATTTATTCCGCTTGTTGCTGTCGACCTAGCGAAGGCATTTACTGCTGAACTCCTGAATTCCAACGCTACCGATGTATCTGCGGACTCCTCCTTAAGGTCTTTGATCTTTGCCTAAACATCGTTTTGAATGTTCGCATCCCAGGTGTGTGTATCGGCAAAGAAGAAGAAGATGCGTGGATCACCGGAATCATGGTTTTATTCGTCTGAGCTTTTGAACTCTTACTGCAGTCCATCTTCAGAGATAAAAGCGTCAACGAAAAAATAAGCAACAGTTATATGAGGCAGGGGCCAACCAACCTCCAGTGGTGTTAGTTATTTCCAGACTGACGTCGTAAAAAGAGTTCAACCCTAATTTATTTCACAGAAACCTCAAGTCTGCTTTCCTAGTTCGTAAAACTGCTCTTTTAGATGTCCCCGTACACAGGGGAACCGACACACCAGTTTATTCTAGAGGTACATATTCCAAGGTTTGGCGAAGTAGTCCCATGTCTCAAAAGCGTCGCTCTCTTAATACTTCGCTTGGTCGAGCGAAAATGATCTGGTCGGATGAAGAAGTTTACCGAAAAGAGATGAAACAACTTTCCAAACGATACCCCCAGAATGGATTCACCACCGGCTGGGGAGTGATATTTAAAAAACAACTGTACCCGCAACGGACTGTTAACCCTTCGTGACATTGCAGAGCAGACTACATAGTGTATAACACTAGGGGGTATTCAAGATGTCCCCTGTGCTTATGTTATGGCATGCTGGTTGTCGGAAAGTACGCAAGTAAACTGTTTCGCGCTCTTTGCGGTTTATAAAGTTGAGGCCTCTTTTCGCGTTCGTTGTTGCAGACAACGCTGGGGAAGTCCTCCTGGCAGACAATCCTCGAATCAGAAGCGGTCGCAGCGACTGTGGCAAACCAATCTGGAGCACAGAAGCCCTGGCCTGCAGCAACAGCAACAACAAAAACGCCTATTCAGGTGACGAATCCTGCTGGCAATCAGGTAGCTGAGGCAAGCGATGTTTCACGGACAATCCGAGAGACGAGAGAGGCTGTGCAACTGTTTAATTTGCTTCAACGGGATATGCGTTCGTCTTCTTCTCAAGGGGTTGATGCGAAACAGATGCGGGACTTCCAGGTAAGCGATATATTTGGCCATTTTATGTGCGAAGCAGATGCCAATCTCTTAGCTGTACGGGGCGCATTGATGCAAATGTTTGTTGTTACGAGAGAAGAAAGCCCAATATCATTGTTGTTTTCTCCACGCAGGTCGTCGCTGAGCATTTGGAGACCCTGCAGCGGAAAGTGCAGTCACTCATCAATGGAGAGCTAAGTGAATGTTCTGCAGACATAACTGGAGCTGACGAGACGGATCTGGCCAATTTGATGAGCGTGAACGACGATCTTCAGCGTTGTATCGAAAGCTACCCGCGGACGGCGCAGAGGGATGCGGTATGTCTTTTCACCTACATATCTTAAGTAGATCAGCGTTTAGTAAACAGGACTTGTTAGTGCATGTTATTTTACTCCAATAAACCCATTTTGGGAGTTTGTATTCATTGATCATTGCCGTAGCAGGTATATTTTAATAATCAGCCTATGAGCGTTTAAAGTCTGCTTTTGGGCGATACGGACGAAAATGCGAGTTCTTGAAGGTAAGTGAGGAGAAGTTAATGCGATCGCCGGAACAAGAACGTCATTCACCTGACGTTTTGTATTCAGATGTCTACTTCTCCTGAACTATTCCTAGAATTCGCATTTTCGCTTGTTTTTGCAACTGTTTGGGCAGGTCACGCTCTAAACAGTCCGACGATGGGAAACATTTGCGTTTCACGGAGTCCCTACTTATAGGCAGGTTCGATTTCTGAACACGAACCTCGAAGATAACTTTTTTCGAAACGCGTTTTAAAGAGCCTGCGAGACGCGCATCACGTCAATGCGGAATATGAATAACCAGTGTGTCCCATCAAGAGGAGTTCGACTCATAAAGCGAATACAGTCCTTCAAGTGAACGCATCTGATTCTTAACTCTGCCTTTTATTAGTCTCCCAGTGCAGAAATTTCAACTTTCACAGTCAATCTACGTGGTAT